CGTTCGCCCTGCGGCCCCCCCCGCCGTAACATTACAAGAGCAACACAAGACACGCTCGAGCCACAGCGCCTATTTAATGTCATACATTATGAAGAATACCTTTGAATTATAATATGTTAACAATATTCTACTCACTGTATTTTGACTGCGTCCTTTCCAATGTTGATATTACACTGACAGAATGCAATCCGCTGCTCTCCGCCGCTACAGTGTGCTGCCAGATATGCGCTGCTGCCTAGTTACGGGCTACAGCGCCACGCGCTCCTGCAACACACTGTCCGTCTCTGCGCATGCGCACCGCCCCGCCCCATTTTCATCAGATGTGAGGTTGTCAAAAATGTAGGTGTTTACTGTAGTTTCAGACTTCTGAAAGTGTTGATCCGAAATGTTACCAGATACCACTTGAACGACCACCAGGTGGCGCTAGAATCCTTGCGGAAGCTCTCTTTGGAACATTATCATCAATTTGGGCACCTATATGGCATATCAAGATGCTGATTAGACAGCATGATTATTGCACAGGTGTGCCTTAGGCTGGCCACAATAAAAAGCCACTTTTTATTGGCCACACACACATATAAATGTCTGTAATTTATTTCACATTCACATAAACATATTATTTTTTAAATATAGAATTAATATAATTAAATATGATTTACACAGTTTTACATAATCGTACATCATATATATTCTCAATTCTGTCTGTAAGGTGCAATTATAATGCAAGTAATTATTTTACTATTTCTTTTACTGAATTCTTAATCAAAACATATCTATGGAATTGTAGAAAATGAATCAAAACATAATAAAAAAAACGTAATTTAAAAAAACATTATGTCCAGATAGAATGAGAATGACACTTTTTTTGTATTACAAAATAAGAAATTCAGGGAAAATGTCAGTGAAAAATAAATTGTACTGCCTTAAAAATAGGCTTCATTTCCTTATATGCAAATATTTACTTTATGCAAATTATACATTATTTATTTTATTTTATTATTAAGTATGAACTGCACAATTTCTTCAGTTTGATCTAATGCAGACTACTGTACCAGACAAACTAAAGCTGGACTCATGTAGGTCTCTCACTCCCCCGTGGCGTGTGCAGGGTCGTGGGTTCATGTCCCCATCTGAAGGGCCCACTTCCTTCTTCCCTGAATTCTGCACTGCGGCTACGTCTCCAGTGTAGGGCGCACGCTCCACCCCCTTGAGTGCTTGACACTGAGAGGAGAGGGTCACAAACAAACAGTCGAGGCACTGCGATACGCAGTCATAAAAACATGATATAATGGAGTGAGAGTTTAAGTTTGAGTACCTTCTCTCTCTGGACCATTTTCTTGTACAGGTAGTCTGGGAAGGTTCGGAGAGGGTAGAACTTTCCTGAGCCCTCAGCACAGGTGAAGATGCCATTTTCATAGACCACGCGACCACGGCTGATGGTTACCAGCGGGACGCCGTGACAGCGTAGGTTCTCGTACAGATTTACATCTCCACCCTGCCATTGAGTGGTCACAGAGATGGTCCTACAGACACACAAAACCATGTAAAAACTTATAATTTCATTTTGCAATACTTGGTATATTAAATATTTTTGAATTCTCAGCTGATCTGAATTTAATCTATTATTTTGGATACCTTGTTGATTCTGGATCCCAGACGACCACATCAGCATCGGCTCCAGGGATGATCCTGCCCTTCCTGGGGTAAAGGTTGTAGATCTTTGCAGCATTGGAGCTTGTGACAGCAACAAACCGATTCTCATCCATCTTGCCTCCGACCTATTAAGGAAGATAGATAGAATGAGCTAAAAAAGTTTTTTTTAATTCTTGATGCATCTGTCATTTCCTGCCCTCTCCATGATTTTTGTTTGTCTTTGGCAACATAACTGTCTGTAATATGAATGTTATATTAATATTAATACAATATTGTTATATAATTTATAACTTATTATATATTATTTATATACACTACCATTCAAAGTGTCAGAAAGATTTTTTTTAAAAGGAACAAATAATTGTATTCTGCAAGGATACATTCAATTGATCAAAAGTGACAATAAAGACATTTGTTACAAAATAAATATTCAAATAAATGCTGTTCTTTTGAACCTTCTATTCAGCAAAGAATCCTGAAAAAAAAATGCAGCAGTTTCCAAAAAAAATATTAAGCAGCACAAGGTTTGACACTAAAGACTCATCACAGGAATAAATTAGGTTTGAAAAAAAATGAACATATAAAGCAGTTATTTTAAATTGTAATAATATTTCACAATATTACTGTTGTTTGCACAGTATTTTTAATTAAATAAAGGAATCCAAATAATTGGTGAGCATAAGTAACTTCTTTTACAAACAAGTCACATGTAACTAATATTCAGGAGCTACACTTTCAATGAACATTTAATGTTCATAAATGAACATTAATGATATCCATTAAAGGGGTCATATGATGTTGCTAAAAAGAACATTATTTTGTGTATTTGGTGTAATGAAATGTGTTTATGCGGTTTAAGGTTCAGAAAACACATTATTTTCCACATACTGTACATTATTGTTTCTCCTCTATGCCCCGCCTTTCTGAAACGTGTTGATTTTTACAAAGCTCATCGGTCTGAAAAGTGAGGTGTGCTGTGATTGGCCAGCTATCCAGTGCGTTGTGATTGGCCGAATTCCTCAATTCCTCAAGCGGAAATGTTACGTCCCTTACCATACTGTGATGCCTGTGGCAACCACATGTGACGACCCCATGCTGGACTACGCTACATCCATGGTGAAAGCCGATCCGGCAAAGTTGAAGTATGTCCTCAGCGACCAGCACAGATCAGCTCTAGGCATTACGAAGCAGATATCGTACTCTTTTGGAAGGCCAAACAAAGTAGTTTCGCTTTCACAATGAAGCACACAGCACCTTCACGCCATGGCGGCGGCAACAACAATACTACAGCGAGAATAAAAATTACGCCTTCTTTCTTTGTGTGAACATTTGGGCGGCGTTATGCAAATCTTCCCACATAGTGATGTAGACATGTGGGGGCGTATTAGAACGAGCCGTTTTAGGTAGGCGTGGCTGACTCTTAACTTTTATAAAGAATATCTCTTTGGATTTGAGACTTTAGTCTTTGCAACTTTACAGATCTTCTTTATGCACCAAGAGCTTGTAACACTCCAAACAGAAAGGAAAAATTGAAATCGCATCATATGATCCCTTTAATATTCACATCTGGTTGGTGTTCATTTGTTTACATTTATGCAAACAAATAGAAGTGTTTAATAGCATTCCTACAGGTATTTTAGCTGCAGGATCAAAACTGGTATAAAAAAATCATCAACTTTCACAAGTACTGGCTATACAAACGTTGATATTGAGATGATTCTAGCCAGCAGTGTGGCTTCTGTGATTCACTGAAACATACCACTCCCCGCTCCCAAATAACGCTCATGCGGTCCTGCACCCCAGGAACACCGTGAGGGATTTTCGTGAAGTCGTCTTTGCCCATCGCCTTCTGTTTAGTGGTGAATGGTCGGTGGTCCGATGTCACGACGTTCAGAGTGTCACTACATCACAGTGAAAATACTTTTATGAGACTATACAGGTATATGATTAAATTAAACTACTACATGGTGAATCCGCTTACTTTCCCAGAAGGCTGAGCAGGTAATTGGGTGTGTTGGGGTCGAGTCTGAGTGGTGGCACAGTGACGAAAGCAGCTGCGTGGGCCCAGTCCTGGTGGTAGTACTGCAGCCCGTTTAAGACAGCATGAGCAGTGGTGGTCTCTCCATGCACCACTTTCCCTGTCAACCAATCACGGACCAGTATTCTGAGTCACATTATGTCATTTACTGGTGAATCTTCAGGTGTCATATATTAAATTAAAATGGTGCAACTGTGAATTGGCCTTTGAGTGTCATTGCCTGGCTCTTACCCTGCATTTTAGCGGATGCTAAAACATCCCCTGCTGACATGCTGGACACATTCACAAGATATATGGGACAGTGGGCCTAAGAGACAACAAACAGAAAACATTCATTCTGATCACATTTAAAGTCCTTAAAAGCAATTCATCGGTAACTCATATGTATGTTTCAAAACTGTCATTCGTCGCATAGTAACGCTGGATCGACATGTCAATCATCTTGACATTCTGTTTATACTGCATGTGCAAAATACAGTATGTACATATGCTTCAGCTGTGAAATAACAGTAAAGGAAGTGACTCAAATTACACTTTTGTTTAAAAGTTTGGTATTTTTTTGAATAAATGAATACTTATTTTCAGCAAAGACACATTAAAGTGATCAAAAGTGACAGTCAAGGCATTTATGATGTTGCAAAAGATTTATATTTAAAACAAATGCTGTTCTTTTGAACTTTCTATTTGAGAATCCTAAAAAAAAGTATAATAGTTTCCACAAAAATATTAAGCAGCATGACTGTTTTCAACATCATAAGATTTAATAATAAAGATTTTTGTTTCTGTTTTTGAAAGAAGTCTCTTATGCTAAGGCTGCATTTATTTGTTCAAAAATAGAATGAAAACAGCAATATTGTGAACTATTATTAAAATAACTGTTTTCTGTTTTAATATATTTTAAATATAATAATTTATTCCTGTGATGCAAATCTGAATTTTCAGCATCATTACTCCAGTCTTCAGTGTCACATGATCCTTCAGAAATCATTCTAATGTGATGGTTTGCTGCTCAAGAAACATTTCTTTTTATTAGCAATGTAAAACAAAGTTTGTGCTGCTTAATATTTTTAAACTATGATACATTTCTTAAAGGATTTATTGCTAAACAGTTCAAAGTTAAAAAGAACAGCAGAGAATAGAAATCTTCTGTAACTTTATAAATGTCTTCACTGTGATAAATTTAATGAATTCTTCATCTATTCGTTTTTTTTCCAGTGACCCCAAACTTTTGAATGCTATTTAAACACTTATGCATTTACTGCCATTATTTCAGTCTGCTAACTTCAATCCCCCGCTCTCTCCATATCAAACATGCAAAATGTCTGATTGTTAAGATTTCTGATTGGCTGAAAAGTGCAGACTGGCCCACTGACTTTTTGCTATTTGCAACATCTACAGGGCTGTAGGAAAACTGTCATATTACTGAATTAGAGCACATCTGCAATTCGTTTTCAGTGTTTGCATTACCCATGTGTTTTAATTCTGAAATACAGAATCTTTGTTTATTATATTTAACACTAAAACGCTCATGTGTAGAACTACTGATACAGCAACTTGCTTAGAAAAGGCCCATGTGTCATCACCTAAGTCTATGTTAGCATTACAAAATTAATTAAAAAAAAAACATAACACATCGACTCTTGTACATACTCACTCTGTTAGCGATGGTAATGGCTCGGTGGATGGCCTCTGCTTCCAGCTACACAAGGAAAATTCCCAAGGTAAGTGAGAAAACACAAATGTCACAATTAAAACCTAATGGTGAACAGACGCCTAAGAGTATTAATAATCCATAAAAACGCAATATGGAGACAGGAAAGACTAGGAGCTGGAGAGAGAGTGGTAATGTGACTAATATCTTAAAGGGGTGGTCCTTATATGCCATGAACATCTGGAAGGAGTTCACCCCTCTGTCCCGCACCAGTGTCTCCATTTGAGCCCTAACCTGTGATGAAGTCAAGTCACCTTTATAGCTCTATACAATACATATTGTCAAAGCAATGATAAGCATCAATAGCAAATAGCAAATCAATTACGACTATGGAGACAGTTAAGATTGTGCTGTAAAGCAGCTCTATATAGCTCTATGTTATAGTAGAACTATAAATTAAACTAAAAAATTTTAGCACATTTTCCTGTTCCTGTAATTGTAGAAAGTTTACATACTCTGCAAACATAGACTTCATACCGTTGGTCCCCACCAGGTCACTCCCATATGAAGAGCGTAGTCACAGCAGGCCTTGGCATCAGCGTGAGAGAGGCACTTTTCATAAGCGTCCAGCAATGATTCGTTCTTTTCTGGCAACACATGACCAATCACCATAGTGGTGCCTCCAGCCAGAGCAGCCTGAAAGTAAACAAACAACAGACCATTTGCGCTCTGGAGATCGGTTTCTATTCAACGTGTTTGTGCAGCGTTGAGCAATGTAGCCAATCACAGACATATCTGTTGATTTCTTGAACCCAACCGCCAATCATAGGCGTTTAAGTTAGAATCCACTCACCGCTTAAATCGCTGCATTATTTGTTCAGGTGTTGTGTTCAGCACAAATCATCTCATTATAACAAAGTGTAGATGCAATGTAAATAAGAGATTCATTGTGCAGCGTAGAGAACTTCATGATTATAACGTAACTTTGTGAGATCGCAATGAACTAAGATGAGTGACTGCTTTTAGTGATTATAAAGGGAACGCTCTTGCGCCATAGCAATGGACGGCACAAATAACCAGGAGCTCGTTCCCGCTGGCCTTAAAAGCCAGGAGAAGAGACACCAGCGGGAAGGCACCCCAGAGCTCCAGGCAACATTAATGCTTGTTTCTGATTGTTCACAGACTCCGAAGGCACCCTGGGAGAGGGATCTGCACCACGGCACTTCACCCCACGAGCACCACGCTGAGACGGGCACCAAGCACCATTCCTCAGAGCATGTCTGATCAGTGTGTGGGCAATAAATCACCCTCCGGGGCTCTTTCGTTCAGTACCGAGTCTGTGGTCTCATTCACCCCGCAAAATATGGTGGAGAAGGCGGGCATAACAGGTGAATTGAGACACAGACTGGTACCGCCAGGTGGCTATAATGATATCTGTGCTTCTTCTAGGAGAAACCGCTCTCTTCCCCCGGACATATGGAAGTGGTCATCTGCCGCCTAACGGAGCTCTCGGCATGCCAGCAGCAGTTTACAGAGCGACTGGGCGCCCGGCAGGAGTATACTGACCGGGTCGTGGAGTCCGCTCGAAGGTGCACCGCGACCAGGCAGCAGACCGGTGGTCCCCGACTTGACGGATGAGCCAATGCCCACGGGACCCCCGGCCCTGACGGCCCGGGCCTGGATGGCGGGGTGTTTCCTGCACCAGGACGGAATTTCCCCGGGCCCCAGCTGGATGGTAAAACTGAAAGGGAAACCCGTACAGGCCTTCTTGGACTCCGGCAGTTCAGTCACTCTTGTGCAACCGTCCCTGGTATGACCCAGGCCCGAGCAGAAATCCCAGTTGCCGCTGACGTGTGTGCACGGAGACACCCGCTATGTACCGGCCCGTACAGTGCGGAGCTCAGCGGAGCCCGGGACCTGGGCCATCGAGGTGGGCATTGTGCCGGATCTCCCCGTACCTCTGCTCCTGGGACGGGACTGGCCGGGGTTCCAGAAGCTCCTCCTCGGACCCAGGATGCCAGACCGTACCGCCCGGAACGGGCCACGGCAACCCCGTCGGGGACCACCCAGCCCAAGGCCGGTCTACCTAGCGACGGACAGCGAGAGGGAGGGTGAGTGTCAGCCCCCTAATCTACCGTCTGTCTACCTTGATGTGTTTTCCCAGGTTACGACCGGGGGATCGTTCAGAAGGGAACAACGCGAAGACGACCGCCTGCGGAACTGCTGGGATCAAGTACGCTGCATTGATGAGGTAGACAGGCTCCCGGGGCCCCACCCCCTCCCTCATTTCGAAATACGCAATGGTCTGCTGTACTGTGTCGCCCACAGGCGGGGGGAGGACAAATTCCTCCTGGTAGTGCCTACCACCAAGATGGAGACGGTCATGGAGCTGGCACACGGCCACCTGATGGCGGGACACCTAGGAGCCGACAATACCGTCCAGCGCATTCGGGACCGTTTTCACTGGCCCAGACTAGAGGCGGAAGGGAAACAGTTCTGCCGTAGCTGTCCCACCTGCCAGCAGACGTCTCTGTGCTGCCCTCCCCCCAGCCCGCTCATTTCACTACCCGTCATTGATGTGCCCTTCGAGCGGATCTGGATGGATCTGGTAGGACCACTTCCGAAGTCTGCCCGGGGACATGAGCTCATCCTGGTTATCCTGGACTATGCCACCCGGTACCCGGAAGTCATTCCACTGCGAGGGGCCAACGCCAAGAACATTGCCCGCAAACTGTTTCTGCTGGCCAGCCTCGTCGGGATCCCAAAGGAAATCCTGACTGACCAGGGTACCCCCTTCATGTCCCGGGTCATGGCGGACCTTTGTCACCTCTTCAAGTTCCAGCAACTAAGGACGTCGGTCTACCACCCGCAGACGGATGGCCTGGTGGAGCGGTTCAACCAGATGCTCAAACGGATGCTGAAGTGGGTGGTGGCCGAGGATGGGCGTGACCTCATGATCCCGTACGTGCTCTTTGGAGTCCGGGAAGCTGCTGTTTGGGAGACAGCCCAGGGGCCTTCTAGACGTGGCTCGGGAAGCCTGGGAGAACCAGCCCGCCCTCCTTCATGGCCTCGTCGAGCACGTGCGGGAGATGAGGGAAAGGATAGACCGGGTCATGCCGCTGGTTAAGGAACATCTCGTGACCGCCCAGCGCACCCAGCAACGGCAGTACGACCGCTCACAAAGTGGGTTCCCCGGCCCAAGCAACTGGCCGCGCTAGCCCATACCGGGCCCCCAGTAGTGGACATGGAACCGCAGCTGTCGGTGACCCAGAAAACGGAGCTTGAGGCACTGGTCAGTCAGTTCCGGGATGTGTTCAGTGAGACCCGGGTAGAACTACCGTCATCGAGCACAAGGTCCGCACACCACCCGGAGTCGTAGTCCGGCAGCGACCCTACCGGAAGCTCGCCGGCCGGCTATAGGGGAGGAAGTCAAGAAGATGCTCCAACTAGGAATCATCGAGCCCTCCCGTAGCCCGTGGGCCAGCCCCATCGTGATGGTTCCAAAGCCGGACAACACCCTCCGGTTCTGGAACGACTTCAGGAAGGTCAACCAAGTCTCGGCCTTTGACGGCTATCCCATGCCGCGGGTGGATGAGCTCCTGGACCGGCTGGGCAAGGCTCACTACATCAGCACCTTAGACCTCACCAAAGGCTACTGGCAGGTGCCCCTGTCCCCCGAGTCCCGGGAGAAGAC